AAAGCTAGGCAAATATCTAGATTAGTTGATGTACTCACTGAAAGACCTCCACATACCCCCAGGGGTACATGTACCCCTGGTTGAGAACCACTGTGTTAGATCATCTAACCTGACCACCTGTATAACACAGGCCATAGAACTTCCCAAAAATAATTCCTAGAGCATCTCTTTTAGAAAAACATCCAATCTTGATTTTAAAATTGTCAGTGATTGAGAATCCTCCACGACCCACGGTAAGTTGTTCCAGTGGTTAATCACTCCCACCGTTAAAAATGTATGCTTTGTTTCCAGGCTGAATTTTTCCAGATTCAACTTCTAGCCTTTGGATGATGTTATACCTTTTTCTGCTAGACTGAAGAAACCACTATTAAATATTTGTTTCCCATGCAGATACTTGTAGACTTAATTAAATCACCTCTTAACCTTCTCTTTGTTAAGCTAAATAGTTGAGCTCTTTGAATCTGTCACTAGAAGACATGCTTTGTAAACCTTTAATCATTCTCATGGCTCTTTTCTGAACCCTCTCCAATTTATCAACATCCTTCTTATGGGCACCAGAAATGGACACCGTATTCCAACAGCTGGTCACAACAGTGCCAAATATAGAGGTAAAATAACCTCCCTTCTCCTACTCAAGATTCCCCTGTTTATGCATCCCAGGATCACATATAATTTGAATGGTTAAGAACAGTAGTTTTTCCCACTGAGAAGAGTCAAAGTTAGAATATTAAAATATATTACTTTAATTATTTTATCAGCATTGTTATTTTTTTGCTTCACACTCCAAATTCTGAATTAGAGGTCCTGGGCAACACCTGATTGGGGAAGGATAAAAAAATCAAGTCAGGGACAGTTGAATGCCATCAACATCAATGGACAAGAGAAATATAATTGGGTCTACCTGTGACTTACCCAAAGGGTAAAATAGTCCAACTCTGCTAATTTCTTTATTGAGGAAAATTAAGAGATTTACATTTTGAAATGTAGTTTCTGCTGAAGTCAATGCTCCATACCATAGTTCCTCTCTCAGGGTTTGAGCCTGCTCCCATGCAATCAATGGGGGAATTTTCCCATTGCTGCGAATGGTGCACGACCAAGCCTTTAGTTTCTCCCACACTGGTTGCGACCATTGCAGTTCCTTTCCTCTTTTACATTGTGAACTCCTGGACTGGACCTATAACAGAATATTCACTCATGTTTGACAACAGATGCTGTTCACCGTTATACGCAGCTGTCCCATTGGCATGCAGGGATGTAAAGTTTGCAGATATTTTGAAGACAAGATTAAAAAAAGGGGGAAAAATTTACTACAGAAAAAAACCAGAAATCTTGGGGAAAATTGAAGTATCTGCAGTAGTTACTGAGTTATCAAAACTAAACTTTATATATTTCTTTAAGAAAGAATTGTATTATGGATAATTTAGTTAGTACCTAAAGTACTGTGTTGTATATTTATGAAATAAATAAGTATAAATTATTTAGTTATTATTCAAATAATGACAAATAAACCTAGTTATAGGGATGGAGCTGCAAGTGCACACTAAGGTACTTGTGTATTTTTTTGCCTTTTGACAAATAGGAAAAAATATAAAATGTTGAAAATAGAAAACATCAATATTGTTGTAAACAAAAAAGAAGATGATATCCTTTGGGCTCAGAAATAGTATGTCTATAAAATCATGACTGGTGTGGAGAAAGTAAATAAGGAAGTGTTATTTACTCCTTCTCATAACATGAGAACTAGGGGTCACCAAATGAAATTAATAGGCAGCAGGTTTAAAACAAACAAAAGGAAGTATTTTTTCACACAACACACAGTCAACCTGTAGAATGCCTGGGTAGAGGATGTTGTGAAGGCCAAGACTATAACAGGGTTCAAAAAAGAATTAGATAAGTTCTTGGAGGATAGGTCCATCAATGGCTATTAGCCAGGATGGGCAGGAATGATGTCCCTAGCCTCTGTTTGCCAGAAGCTGGGAATGAATGACAGGGAATGGATTGCTTGATCGTTCTATTTATTCCCTCTGGGGCACCTGGCATTGGCCACTGTCGGAAGACAGGATACTGGGCTAGATGGACCTTTGGTCTGACACAGTATGGCCGTTCTTATGTTCTTATGTAAATAGACCTGACCTGATATTAACATGCAGATACAGAAGAAACTCATATTTCTAGAGAAAAAGCTCCAAAGATGAGTGTCCTCATTATGTAGTTAGCAGAGCACAATATTAAGGCGCAACAATAAATCTGAGCATATATCCAAACTTTATAGTAACAACACCAGACTCTTTAATGGTGCATTATCATCATATATACAGTAAGTGTCAGTTATAGACAAAACTAGCCTTCCCATGAATGAGTATAATAAAATTTAAAGTTACTAATGTATTCTTGGAAATGCATAGCTCAAGGTTTTCCTTCCTCTTTTACTATTCATTCTGAGAGCAAATATTTCATATGACAATTTCTTTCCAAATTTTCCCCAAATTTCCAATTTATCCATACTGGCCTTGTGAAAATAAATGGGGGAAGTGCGGGGGAAGGGGGAAGGCCATTTTTTTCCTGCAAGTTTCTGTGTTTTTTTCCAGATCCTCATATTGCTATTGGACAGGCTCAGCTAAGGGCCTGTCTACATGGATGGCGTAATCCTTAGTTTTTTGATGCAGATCAGGTAACACACAATATGCAAGCTGCACAAGTAGTGTGTGCATGGCATGGTATGCCCTCTTTTAATGTCCAACATTGTATACACATGACGGTGGTTTGCTGTGTACTAAGGGCATGGAGTTCTCACAGGACATCCCATGCTCCTTTGCTTATCTGCTGAGCAGTGTGCATTCTGGGATTTTAACTAAGTGTAGTTGGTTTCTGTTGGGATTCAAGGTTGACCCACTTTGTTAAAATGAGTTTGCTCTCCTTGTTTGACACTGCCACAGCAACTGGACAACTGATTTCAACACCAATTTGGGGACAGAGCAAGAGAAGCCAGCCAACTCAACCACAGCTGAAAATGTTAGTGCAGAAAACAGCCACAATGCTTTGAAGTAAGTTTTACAACCAAATTGGCAAAAAATGGGACTTATAGTTCACACCAGTGCAGCTCCACCAGTGGAAGCTGTAGTGCAGACAGGACACCGGCATTTTCCTTAGCATGTCATCTAAACCTTGCTCTACCATTGATGTTGTGTAATCTTGTGCAAAACACCTCTGTGCTTCAATTTCCCCATCAGTAAAAAGGCAGATAATAATGTTACCCACCTTAATGAAGCACCATGAGATGTATGGATGAACACCACTAGATAAGTACTGTTCAGAATTTTTACACTTCAACCTTTGTTTTAATATAAATATACTTGTTGTTTCTTTGACTTGACAGGCTAGTCAGAGTCTGTCTCTGGAGGTCAGATTCCCCTGTTTTGCTAAAGATGGTTATTAGCATTCCATGTGATAATCTCAAAATGCAACACTGCAGAAAGTTAGCTTACATGTCTGGTAGATACTCCAGGTACTAAGGCTTACTTCATAACAAGATCCCTCCTTTTCAAATGGCAGCTTTGACTTTAACTTTGATTTTATAGACTACGCACATCCACCCACCCCTCCTAAGTTTCTTTCCTTAATGTTTTCTTCTACTTCATTTCCAAATAGTGCTAATGGAACTAATATTTCCAAAACCTAACGAGCCACTGTGTTTGACATTTTATTTGCTAGGAAATTTATTCAATCAGCATTGGAGTGACATGCCTATTTTCAATTTAGCCTTGTGCCAAGTGGCTAATATCTAGTATTGGCAGACTGGTAACCCAGAAAAGCATTATGACTTATTTAGTTGAATAAGATTCCAAAGTAGACAAAGCCAGGGGGAAGACTTCTGAAAAAGACATGGAGATAATTAGTTTTGCAAAGAAGAATGATGACTTGTAGGGGGAGGGATAGCTCAGTGGTTTGAGCATTGGCCTACTAAACCCAGGGTTCTGAGTTCAATCCTTCAGGGGGCCACTTAGGCATCCGTGGCAAAATCAGTACTTGGTCCTGCTAGTGAAGGCAGGGGGCTGGATTCAATGACCTTTCAAGGTCTGTTCTAGGAGATAGGATATCTCCATTTATGTATTATCTGCATATGTCCTAGACAGAGGAAGACTAGAGACAATAGAATAAATAGTTGCTGGGGACATGGGTCAGCATTCAGGTTACACTTCCTGTCACTAGCTAGCCCAAGCCAGCGAAGCTAATGATCAAATTCAGTGGTGAATTCTGGTCATGTGCCACCTGAGGCATGTTGCTCATATTGTAAGAAGAATACTTGCTAAATTAAGACCCTCGTTTCACATATCCACACTGAGCCCTCATGATGAGCAACACAAATTGGTTTACAACTACTGAGAAGCAGACTTTTTAACTTCGACACCCTCCACAACTAACATTTGCTTATCTATTTTCCCCGCCGCCGTTATTTCCATATACAGCTTTATGATATAAGGTAAGAGCTCTTTAGTCTGATATTATTTAAAACTGTTATGTGACCTGTTTATTGGTAGGCTAGCACAAGCAGACCTGATCCCCAGAATAATGACAGAATAATGATCATCAGTTGGCAAGAGCACACGAGACAAATGCCCAGTTATGCCAAAAAGTGGGGCGTGCCCCCTAGGGAGGTGCAGAGGAATATTTGGGAGGGGGTGAGTGGCAACGCTGGGCAGCAGGGCTTGGGTTGTCAGTCCCAGCCCCGGGTGGCTCAGGCCAGCCCCGCGCAATGTCCCATTTTCTCTTAGGGAAATATGGTCACCCTAACTTTCAGTAAAATGTAATTAGTAGTTAATATATGTTTTTATTTTTTCACAAAATGTAAACACTAAAGATTCTCTGTAAAAATGCAAATTCTGTGTTTTTCCATGGCAATGGATTTCTAGGATCTCTGATAATCACAGCGTTCCACAAAAGTTAATTAATTAGGGCTGTATCTATCCTATGGAAGTTCAACCTTAGCGCCTCACCTTGCTGATTGCATGGAACCAAATGGTGGCACTCTCTGCCCTGTGCTGATTGCTGCACAGGGGTTGCTGGCATAGCACATATACTTACAGTTCTCCTCATCCTCCCTTGCATGTCAGAGTTGCCAGTCCCACCTCCCTTAGATGGAGAGCTGCTGTGAGATGGAAGATGATAAACCAAGAATGCTTAACGTTCGCTTTACAGGATTTTAACCTGTGGTCTCTAGCACTTAACCCTCCCATGACCAGACCTCGCTAACAGCTGGCCCTTTGGCATATAAGCACAGGCAGAAATTCTCATGCAGAATCAAGAAAGCCAAGGAGCCTCTGTGTCTTTTTTACTGGCACAGGCTTTGTGCGAATGCATAGAATTCCATACAGAGCGCTGCGCCCATTGATTAAGTCCCACAATTCCCATGAGGTACTGCAGATATCACTGAAGCTGTCTCCCACTCTCAAACTCAGGCTAGGCACCACACAATTAAGTTTTCCTCCCATGGGCAAATGAGAATTAGAAGTTGTAATGATGAGAAAGGATGGAAGTGGAGAATGGATCTGGGTAGGTTAGTGTGGGGAAGAGGAAGGGGAGGTTTTGCTGGTGGAGAATTATGCATTGGTTGGGGGCTGGGCGATAAGCTGTAGTAAGGATTAGTTTGGAGGCAAGCAGTCTGTTTTGGGAAGTAAATGGCAGCATGTTGGAGTGAAGAGCGGGAGTACAGTATGCACACACTAGCAGAGTGCTAAAGTCAAGGGGAAAGGTGAAGACCCTGAATAACTCCTCAATTACAATCAATATAATACTTCACGATATTAAAAAGACATTATACTTACAAATAGCATCTCTGAATGCCTAGCAGCACTTCATCTGTGTGTGAGGAGCTGAAACAACAACAACAACAAGAGTACACATAGGTTTCTCTGCTGCTATTAGTATAACAAAGCTAAGAAAATGTTGTAAACTGGGGGAAAAAAATGATTTCAAGGCTGGAAGTTGTTCCTTTAAGTATAAACAGAATTTCCTATTTTATAGTAGCATCATTATCTGGTTTCTTTCTTCTTGTCTTTTACACATATTGCTTCATCTGAAATTAAGTTCTCTGATTGTCTCAGTGGGTGGGCAATATTTGTAGTAATTATGCTACTTTGAAGAAAACCTATGAAAATTATTTGATGCCATTATATATCTCTTCACAACCATCCAAACACCATTAACAAAGAAACAAAAGTGCAATGCATTCAGAACATCAGTATAAATATCAAATTTTCCCCTGCAAGCACAGTCAAACAATTAGCAGGAATCTCCTGACTAAACAAATACATTTTGCACGTCTGGGTCAAAATAGGGCTTGGTGGTATGGAATGCAAGAGATGGGTATGCATGCCATTGAATGAAAAAATAGCCATCTTTAATGGTACGACCTACTCTACTACAAAGAACATTTTAGAATTATTTTGACAGCCACTCCAGAGAAGAGAAGTCCTACTGCATGTAAAAACATAACTAAAAATAAGTGTTCCTAGTGGTAAGAGCTTTGAAATTGCTTCTGGAAAGTGAAAGACCATATGAGACTTGCATAGCTGCACCACCCATCTCTGATATTTTATTTTATTTCTCCACTGAATGTGTTGACATTAGTCTCGGCATCGAATTTACAATGCACCAATGTGCTCCTGGCAACCCCCAGAGAGTCATCTCCTATCTCTTTGTTGAAAGGGACCCTTTATGGGGTCTGACCTGACCTAAAGCACAGACTGCTGAATGTACTAAACTGGGGATGTTGTTTCCCCATAATTAGATCGATTTGATTAAAATTGGATAAAATGAGAGAGTTCTGTCTGTCTTTTTGGTCTGTGTTTGTACAGCGCCTAGCACAATGGGGTCCCAGTCTATAAGTAGGACTTCTAGGTGCTAAGGTAATATCAATAATAAAGCTTCGAAATTCAACTCTGGCCCTGGATCAGAGATTTTCTAAAGATCAGAGGTGTTTGGATCAGGGTATTGCTTGGGTCCATTTCTGTAACATTACATAATAGACATATATTGGACTATAATATAATCTCACTGAGGTCAGTTAAAGACCAGAATGAAAACCTAGTCCCATTGAAGTCAATAGGAGTTTTAATATTTGATTTGTTTCAATGAAGGGTATTACTACTTAATACCCTGGTAAGTGGTATTAGGGGTAATAATAGCCACTGGAATTACTTCCAACTCCTAGCAGCTGTGAGCATCATCATCACCAATAAAGGCATAACTTCCTGTGACCCTCACCTTGAGCACCAAAACCACCCTGTCTTTATTTCAGTGTTTAAGAGTCTAGGGTTATGTCTACACTACACGGCACAGCTGCACCACTATAAGGTCTCCCATGTAGACACTCTGTGGCGGGGAGAGAGCTCTCCTGCCAACATAATTAAACCACCCCAAGGCTATGTCATCAGGAAAGTGTCTCCTGCCGACATAGTGCTGTCCACACCGGTACTTTTGTCAGTGAAACTTATGTCAGTCAGGTGGCTATTTTTTACACCCCGACCGACAAAAGTTTTACCAACAAAAGTGGTAAAGTAGACAAAGCTTCAGTATTACAACAGTGTCAGAAGATTCAAACTTATCTGACACAGTTGCACAAATAAAGCTACCTGAATACTTTGGTTTGGTAGATAATCAAGCAACCACCTGTCAGAGATGGTCTCAGTATACATGAGCCTGCCTCAGTGTCTGGGGGATGGATTAGTTGACTTCTTGATGTTTCCTTCCAACCCTATACAGTAACTCCTCACTTAAAGTCATCCTGCTTAACGTTGTTTCGTTGTTCCGTTACTGATCAATTAGGGACAATACTCATTTAAAGTTGTGCAATGCTCCACTCTTACATTGTTTGGCTGCCTGCTTTCTCCCAGCGCCTCCCGCCTGCTGGTAGACCCTGTGGATCACTGCCTTCCCCCTCCTGCCCCCGCCTCCTGTCCACGGCAATCAGCTGGCTTGCGGTGTTTTGGAGGCAGGAGGGAGGGGGGAGGAGCGAGGACTCGGCGTGCAGGCTCCCCCTCCCTCTCCTGCCTCCCAAACACGGCAAGCCAGCTGATTTCCCCGGGCAGGAGGGAGTGGGGAGGAGCGAGGACTCGGAGTGCCTCCCCCTCCCTCCCCTGTCTCCCGAATGCAGAAATCAGCTGGCTTGCAGCATTTAGAAGGGAGGGGAGGGAGGGGGGAGGAGCCAGGATGCAGCGTGCGAAGTAAAGAGGGAGGAGGTGAGGGGGAGGGAAGATGAGGCAGGTCAAGGATGGGGGTTTGGGGGAAGGAGTGGAGTGGGCGGGCTGAGGGTTGAGCCCCCTGCCCCTGGTGCTTGCAGAGTAGGGGAAGCTGCCCTGGAACCTAACCCCCCCATTTACATTAATTCTTATGGGGAAATTGGATTAGCTTAACATCGTTTCACTTAAAGTCGCATTTTTCAGGAACATAACTACAACGTTAAGTGAGGAGTTACTGTATTTCTATGATAACAAATAATTTCTGAGTTCTAATCTTGCTTCTCCCACTAACTTGCTACATTGTCTTGGGCAAATCACTTCTGTGTCTTCTCTTCCCCATCCATAAAATGAAAAAACAACAATACTTACATCCCTATCTCATAAGGAGGTTCTGAAATTTTATTTTTCACTGAATGTTTGTACAGTGCTTTGAAAATGTCAAGAGCTACATAAAACTGCCATGAGATATGCTGTAGTAAATGCACACAACTTCGATTTCAGCATCTTCTGTTATATTGGTTCTATATTTTATTAGCAATTTTTCTGTAAGGGGACAATAGATTACTACATAATGTACTAGATGATGATTTGCATTTGGAGAAATATTATAAAATGATCTTTTCCAGCACAAGAGAACCAAAAGGTATTTAGAAAATGTTCTTACAATAAAAATGACTACTAATCAGCAGCAGGTGGAGCCAGGGGGAGGAAGGATAGGGGAGCTAGCACCTCCACAATGGAAATATTGCGGGAACTCCACCCCCGTGTAAACGTTCCTGCATCCAGGGGATGGGGTAGAGGGCCAAGACAGAAGTGGGACCTAGGGGGCCTGAGAACTGCTAAGAAACCGTGGGACCCTCCTTCCCAGCCTGGAGCCAGCTGCTTCCCCTTTCCTCCCACCAAGTCTCAATATTCCCCCTCCTATCTCTCCATCATTCCATTTAGGGAGCTTCTGCACCTTCCCCCCACCCCTGCCAGCTACTAAAATGTTGGCAAATATTCTTCTAAAATAATTCAAAAGATGGCTGCATGTAGTGGGGGTCCTCACACCTTGAGTGCACCCTGGTGGCCCAGTGGAGCACCACAATTATGTCTCTGGCTCAGTTTCCACTAGTGGGCTTCCAGTCCAATAAGGCTTCTGTACATTGAACAGTATCCCTTCAGGGGCCTCCTTTATTAACCCAAAGGTGGAACATTATACAAATAGGCCCCACCCCACCATCTCTAGCTGGAGGGGGATGTGGAGGGAGCTGAGTTAATCTTAGTCCATCAACTCCACTTACGGCTCGGTCCCTTACCAGCTAGGCCATCTTGGTCTGAAACCCCCTTCGGGAGCCTGGGCCTCATGTCATCAGCTAGGGGAGAGTCTCTACCATTGGATCAAGGTTCCCCCAGAGGTCAAACCACAGCAACCCTTCCTTAGAGCAGTATATAATTCCTCTGATCTGGGGTTTATGGACAAGGTTTCAGTGAGATTTGGTATTCATAGCTCCTCCCTTTCAGAGCTTCTCCCACCTAGGAGCATTCTTCCTTAGTTTCCTTTCCTAGTAAGCCCACGCACTAAGTGCTCCCTAAGAAGCCCTCCCCTTTGGATCTCTCGCTTTGTTTTCTGGGGACTGTTCCTCTACCCAAGAGCCTCTGTTCTCTAGCCCCCCTTGGGAATAGCTTTTTTTATCATGCTCAAGTGCTTCCCTGAGTAAGTAACTGCCTTCAGTTACTCAGTGAGTTAATTAGTCCCAGGTGAGCCTGAGTTGCCTCAGTCATTCCCTCTTGTGGAGTTTGGCAGAGGTAGGCTGAGCCCCTCACGCCTTCAGAGGGCCAGCTACCCTCTGACACTGTGTTATCTTTTCAAAATGTATGTCAAGTCTAAATCATTCCATAACTGGCAGGGGACCCTATGTGAGGGACAACTGGGCAAGAATTTAAACTACTATGAAATAAAATTGTAGAATTATTATAGGTAATTGTGAATTATCAATGCAGTAGAAAGTCAATAATAAAACAGGATTATTTGTAACAGATCTTTAATCTTTGGAATTCCCTGACGTCTTAGTCAGAATATCCTTGCACTAGTGGAAGAAGAAACAGGTATAATGGAGAGAACATAAATGTTTTATATGAAAACTTAACTCCATCATGTTCTCCAACATGTCAAGGGAATTCCAAACATGGAGAATATCAGATTTAGGAGTTTGTCTGAATCTGGCAGCAGCTTTATCTTAAGAAAGGTCAAGTGACTATGTTGCTCATATCAGAGCTGAAAGATAAGATTCTAGTAAGGACTTGATTCAGCAAAGCAATTGACTTCAATAGTGCTATTCACATGCTTACATTAAGACTTGCTGCTTAAGCATCTTTCTGAAATGGGATCTATAAATCAAGGAAAAGCCTAACAATATGTGGACTTTACATCTAGCTGTTCATTCATATATTCATTCTGAATAATCAAATTATGTTTTAATACTATGGAAACATAGACCTTGCTCTACTGAAATAAACAAATGGCCCAGTAAAGCATCATGTCTTTGACAGTGACCTATATCAGAAGTTTCACTGGAAAACAAAACAATACTGTTCCTTGCCAGTTGTGTAATAGTCTCCTGCATTGTCAAAAATGTTGCTTGGGATCACCT